AACACTTTGTCCTCTGAGGCTGGAGAGCACAGCATCAGTGACTTCTTTGAGAGGGAGGATGGGTCAGGAAGTCAAGGGAATTCAAATCTAATCTTTTCAAATGTTTTAGGATATTAGAAGTTGAGCTCCTTTACAGTAAGCAAGAGGAAGAAATGGGTAGAGGGGCCTGATGAAAACCAGCAAGGTTTGGCACTGTCTTGGAAAAATGAATGAGCTAATTAATCAAGGGTGAAGATTGGTGTGTGCCTCTAGAGCAGGGGTCAGCAGACTCCAGCCCACGGACCAGATCTAGCCTGTGGCCTATTTTTGTGGCCCATGAGAGTGATTCATACATTTCTAAAGGGTTGTTAGGGAAAAAAAGGAGAATAAGGGTATATGAATATAATACAGACCATATGTGGCTTACAAAACCTAAAACATCTACCATTTAGCTGAATACAGACAATTTTGCCAACTTTTGTTGTAGGGTAACCAGTTCAGGATAGAATCCCTCAGTTCCTAGCAGGGATCCCCTTTGCTCTAAAAGCAGGTAGCAGTCTGTATCTAAAGAGTGTTTTAACTGACAAATGGTCAGGGGTAGGTTGATCATCCATTTGTTGATATGGGTGCTACTTACACAGGTATTTGCTTTAACATTTTTCATTATACTCAGTGGTGTGCCAGTAAACTGACTCTAAAAATAAGCCCTGATTTGTAGCGCGTGTCAATTTCCATGGGGCACGTATTCCCACTATTGCTAGTTTCAAGCTACCAGTGTGGCATCACTGCATGAGGCGTTGGGAAGGAATGTGTGGAGTTGGTTCTCATAAGCCAGTGTGGGCCTGTTCCTGCAAACCCCGGCATCTCCAAGTTGTCTACTCTATTTGTGTATTTATATTTTATTCACAATTGAGGGGGAAAAGCCCTTTTAAAGGGAATAATAGGGAGAGTGAGTCTCTACATTATATCATTGGGGTTTTTTTCCGATAGGGAAATACAGTTTGGAAAAATAACTAGTACCATTTCATACCATATGAATTTTCCGAGCTACTTTCATGAAAGGAATTACACCAACTCAGGTATTGAGTACTGTGAAAAAAAGCAACTTCCATTTCCTTTAACTATAACCTGATTCTAACTCTAGGGTTAAGCTGACGCCTGGGAAGGTGGAAGTCTTGGTGAAGCATACAGCTCTTGTTTCCTTGATCTAACACAATTCAAATCTGAGAATGTGAGGACTGTGTTTTGGGATAAATTCCTGGTGCCACTGAGATATCTTTGGAGATTAGAATAAATAGAAAGGCCTGTAAGTTGAAGGACATAAATAGAAGCCATCCAGATAGGTTCGCACTACAGCAGAGTCAGGAAAATCCCTCTGACATGCCTGTGGGAGCCGTCGCCTCTTTAGAGGAGAAGCTCAGTTTCTGAAAGGACTCATTTACCCCACGTCTTTCAGGCTTCTCAGTCTTCCAGTTGGACACCATTGCTACTTTAAGGCAAGCCTCTTTGGCTGCTCTGATAGGACATTTCCTTAAAGCTCTCAGTCAACTTTTAGAAGGACCATGTGCTCCAGAATACATTAAGTCTCTCACTCAAATCCTGGGCCGCCTTTTCTTAGTCAAAGCAACACCGTACATTTTCTCTCGCGTGTTTTCTGTTTACTGCAGATCCCCAATTTCTGTAAACTTTAAAAACCTCAGTGTAAAGTATGATGACTTTTAATAGTTTACAAAATGCCTAAACGTTGTCCATCTCCTCTCAGACAATAGCTGCGGACGTTCTGTGCGGCACTAGGAGATATATCCCAGCTATTCAATATAAATCGTTCCCCTAGAGTTTCCTGCTTCTGTGAAGAAGCGTTTCATTCAAATTCTTTCAACTGCTTTTAATCAGTTTAAGCTTTGATTAAGAATGGAAAAAGAAAAAGTGAAAAATACCCTGGGTAATTTGACATTATTAATAATAGAAAACTGACAGAATTATATATAATGGAGTGTATATATTATATATAATATATAATTTGGATAATTTCTTAGGCAAAATCATCAAAATACATAAATGTTAAGAAAATATGGTAATAGGTATCGGAACAAAATATGGTCAGACCAAACGCTTAGAATAATTAGAAACATAATTCTTCTGCCAAACCAAGTTTTCCTGTTAGCTAGTTTGAGTTTTATTCTGGGGCCCCCCACTTCTTAGAACCGAAATACATCTTTATAGCAACGTTTCTCTTCATCTCCATTTTCCACTGCTGAAATTTCTCAGCCCTGACAAACAGCTCCCATTACGTGCTAAAATCCAGAGGAGCGAGCCTATGAGTGATATGCAAGTACTGTGTGACACACGTTTTGACTTCTCACAGGTTTTTTGACTTTTCAGTTCTTGGCTACATTCTAGAGAAGTGATTTACTGCTGCTGTCTTTATGAACAATGGATTCATAAATCTGAGGTGTAAAATAAATTTAAAGATCATCTGATAGCTTTCAAAAAATTGAATGAGAAAACTCTTTTTGCAGGTCCAAGGGCATTTATGTAGAGAGTTAAAAAAATCAGGAGAGTTTCAAAAATCCCAGACAATTGAATCATGGGTTATTTAATTCCAGATATCTAAGCTTTATGACTTTGGATGAGAAAAACAATTTGTTAGATATTATCTACTCTCTCTCTTTTTTAAAAAATAGATTAATTCATTTAAATATTTATATTTAAATAGGATATTCAGTCTTAATCTTGAACTCATATTGGAAAGGAACATTTTTGTAGAGTTGTACTGAATGTAAATATAAGCATTTAGAAAATGTCTAACTTTCGTAAAATAGAATAATGTATGTTAAATCTACTGTAGTATGTGACATAAATCATTTGGTATGCCATAAGTTTCATATTGGAAAGGAACATTTTTGTAGAGTTGTACTGAATGTAAATATAAGCATTTAGAAAATATCTAACTTTCGTAAAATAGAATAATGTATGTTAAATCTACTGTAGTATGTGACATAAATCATTTGGTATGCCATAAGTTTCCTACATTTCCTTAAAATCTGAGTTATCCTAAATGACCATTTGTAATTCTGTGTATTTCTTCAACCCAAACATTCATACACGTGTGACTTGTTAGGCCTTTAGAAATGTTTCTAATTCTCAGAAAGCTCTGGAATCTCTTGTCTGTCTCTCATCTCCTCCCAAACTATTGTACCATTATGTCTTAGAGTTCACCACCATGGTACACTCAGCAGTGATATGGCCCAGCTCTGCTGCTAGCGCTTCATGAATCCTTTTCTTCTTGAATTGTTTGAAGGAGCTACCTGCATAGTTCAGCAAGTCCTTGAATAAATATTAAGTTTAGGTCACCCCAAAATTCCTGAAGTGGTAGACTCTCTTTTCGTGTAGTGACACATAGAAATTCTTAGTTACCAATAATTTTTACCAAAAAAGCATCTCATAGAAAATTGCTATGAAGAATGCATCTCAAATATGCCTGCATTTCTAGTTTTATCTGTAAGAGGAAGAATGGTACCATTTATTGAGAGGAAGTAGTGCATGATTTTTTCTGCTTTGTGTATAATTGATTGTTTAGGTTGGTGGTAGGGGGGATGATATGGGAACCAGTAAAGTACCCTAGCACTGTCTGTAGACCTTCTTGAACAGGGGTGATAGGTTCTTTACTCGGGTTTATTTTCTTGAGACTATATCCAGGTTCTCTTTTCCAACCCAGCTCATTTTTTCTGGCTCTTCATAGTCTACTAAACATCATCTTCAAATCCTCCTCTTATTTTTTCCATGTTCCCTTGAGCTTCAAACATTAGAACTTTTCTTGTTTCTTGGCCCATCCCCTACTGGGGCTGGACACCAGCTCCCCTTTGCTCTGTGCCCCCAACCTGAGGGCTGGATGCACCTGCTCCAATGCCCAACCACAGTGCCTGTGTTCAGCCGTAGGCTCACGATTGTTCACCAAAAAAAAAAAAAAAAAAAAAAGGAAAGTGAGTTGGGAGGATGCTGTCTTTAGTCTGACATGTTGAAGTTGAAATTCCCACAGGAATTCAACAACTAGCTCAGGAAGAAATTCTGTGTTGGCAATAAAGATTTGCTGGTCATCACCATGTAGAGAAATGAAAATGTCAATGGTATGGGTTAGATTACTAAGGGAAGTATATCAAGCGAGAAGAAAAGACATCTCAGCAAAGAAACCTTGACATTCCAGAAAAGGGCCTCCCGCCCCCACCCCAAAAAGAGGATATTTGTGAAGGAGACAAAGAAAGAAAATAGAAAAGGGAGGATAGCATTTCAAGAAAGTAAGTGGGATTAACAGAGTCTGTCATCACAGAGAAGTAAATTAAATTAAGGACTAAAACGTTTTATATAGCTGACTTAGAATAATTTTGGAGGAGAGGTAAAGACAAAAATCAGACTAATGTGCAGGGAGGAATATGCGGATAGTGAGAGGGAAACTCGTGAGGAGGAACTATTTACCCATTGGCTCAAGAAGTTGCCAATCTAAAGGACTGTGGGACAAACTCCTTAAATTCTCTAGTCTGTTTCCTTATCCACAGAATAAGAGAATTAAGATAAATGATCTTCAACCACCATTCTGCCTTGATAATCATTCCAGGAGTCTATTCTTATCAATTCTTAAGGAATTAACGAAATAAGAATTGATAAGAATTGTAACAGGCTAAGTTGTTTCTTGACTGTCATCATAACACAAAGACAGCACCTCTGCAATGTCTTTGCAAGTTTGCTCTGCCTTTAAGAACTTGCAAGAAATATTGTGCTTGTTCTGCTTTTGTTGTACATTTCCATTGTTTTGGCAGTTCCAGACTGTCTTAGTTGACTTAAATTCCTAATTTGTTTTCATTAGTATAGGGGATGTGCCACATTATTTCGAAGCACTAATAAAAACAAAAGATAGAATAGGCAATGCACTAGTTTTACAAATAGAAACTTTATTTTTGTTTTTAATGTTAGATTATTAAAGATTGCTTCTAAAACTTTTTTTGTAAATCTCCTTTGAATTCCAGGTATTGCCATTTCAGACGAACTCGATAAGGTAAGTTGAACTATGTATCTAATGAAAAGAATATGTAGAACTTACACTTTAATCCATTGCCTAAATTCAAAAGTTTCTGAAACATATAAAGTATTCAAATATAACTGATTTGGTGCTAACATTTTAAAACTTTTTAGTTATATGTTTAGGTTATTTTAGGAAAGTCATTGTGGTAGATATATATCACCTATTCTTTTGAGTAAAGGCCTTTAGAATTTGGTTAGAGAAAATGGAATTACCAATAACTGAATCACTATATTAAAAATCACCATACTACATTATGTAAATTATTTGAATTCTGACTGTATCTAGATAATAATGATGATGATGATGACGTGGAAGACACTTGTGCTATTCTATAGCTACTCTTTAAAAACCTTACTACGTAAGGCTTGTTTTGATTTTCCAAGATGCCAACATAATATTATGGTGCTTTGAACTGGGGTGATGGTGGTAAAGATAGTGAGATGAGCCACAATTAGGAATGTATTTTGACAGTAGTTTTAGTGGAACTTGCTTATGATAGGATGTGGGGAGTTGTAGAAAAAATCAGTCAATGCTGATTCCTAGGTTTGGGAGATGAGCAGCTAGGTCAACTGCGGTGCCATTTACCAAAACTGGAAAACTAGGGAATGAGCTAGTTGGTCAAGTTGGGATAGCATGAAGAGTTCTCTTTAGAATTGCTTATTTTGAGTTGTCTATTAAACGTGTCTGTATGAGTTGTTGCTCATGAGAAAGATTTGACTGAGAGCTGTACATTTAGGAGTCTTTGGGGGAAAAGTTCTCAATTCTTTTGGTCTTGGAACTCCCTTACACTCTTAAAAATTATAGAGGACCCTAAAGAGCTTTAATTTATGTAGATTATACCTATCAATATTAAATTATTTTATTGACATATTGATATCGATATTAGATATCTACGTATGTTAGAAATTAAAACTGATAAAAAATTTACATGTAGTAGTGATAACTCCATTCATTAATACAAATAACGTTTTTATGAAAAATATTTTCCAAAACAAAATATTAGTGGGAAAGTTGCATTGTTTACATTTAAAAAAATCTCTTTAATGACTGGCTTCATTGAAAATGGCTGATTTTCATATCTACTTCTTCATTCAATCTGTTGTGATAAGCTGAAAAAAATTAACATCAGATGTTTTTATGAAAAATATTTTCCAAAACAAAATATTAGTGGGAAAGTTGCATTGTTTACATTTTAAAAAATCTCTTTAATGACTGGCTTCATTGAAAATGGCTGATTTTCATATCTACTTCTTCATCCAATGTGTTGTGATAAGCTGAAAAAAATTAACATCAGATGTGTAGCTAGAAAGGGAGAAGCACCTAGAAATAGCCATGATCAATATTTGGCAAACACTGGTCCAGATATCTTTCTAAATGGAAAATATTTTGAAATTTGGCTTGGTGCCTAGATATACTTATAGACAGAAAACTATAGAAGTTGTTGCAAAAAATGGGATCATATAAATCATGACATTTAAAAATAAACTCTAATGTAATAATTGTATTATTTTACAAAAACAATAAAGTTAGTATTCTTCTATTCCAAATAGAAATATACCTTTTGAATTTTGTACAATAAAAATGCATTTCTGATTCAATAAAAAATAAATTATATATATATACTTAAATGAATTCTCTTTAATAAACCATCATATTTAAAATTATTTTCATTTCTATCTGTACTAAACCTATGCAAAACTACATCTCGACTGTATACAACAGCAAGTGTAGTTAAGTGGTGGGTGTGGCGTCCTCGCTTAGTCCTGCTTTTCTGGTTCTTCTCTGTGTGTCCCTCATTATGTTGCTGCAGCTGGTCTCCTTCTTATGCTATGACCTTCCTTAAAATTTGCAGAAATTTAATAATCCCTTCTCTTGCAGTTATATCTATGTTCATTTTAAGTACAAAGTTATCATCATCATCATTTCTAGGTTCAGTTGCTCCTTCCTATATATTCTGCAAAACTCTGGCTGCCTGATTCATAAATTAGTTTGAGTGGGGCTGTTATTCTGCTTGTCTCTTGTCCTTCCATTTTTTTCTGTGCTCTGACTTACAGCAGCATTGGTGTCCACATCTTTTTTGGTGAACTGAAGAATTTTGATTATTCTTTGAACTGAAATGGATTTAATCTTCACTGGGTAAATTGTAGATGTGCCGACACTTGGTTAAGTACCATCCTCAGGACATGTCCTCGCCCCTCACACCCTCTCTCTTCCCAGCACTAGCTCAGGGGAATGTCCATTGAACTAAATTGCATGACACTGCTGATTTTCATTTACTTACCTAATATTGTTGTTTTTGAAGACTTCATGGAAATTGCTGCACTTCATTGTACATTTATTATTTTTCATTATTATTGAGGAAGATGCTAACAGTTGTCATAAAAAAGCTTTTATTGAAAAAAATATTTATGTCAAAAAATTGACCCCACTCTCACATCTGATTTTCAAGAGTGCCAGATAGCACAAAGGAATCACAGGCTTCCAGAGCCGTAGATAGCCAGGAGCCTTTGCCTGCCTGGAGAGCGCACCCTTGCCTGAGAGGGACAGCCTGTCCCATAGCACCCTCTGGTGACCATGAAGCTCACAGGCTGGAATTTTCCTGAATAAGAAAAAGTGAATCTCAGGAAGCTACTAAAAAACAGCCAATAAGAATGATTAACAGTTTGTTGACCTGACACCTATGTCTTTAAAATGTAGTAATAAAAATACATACAGCTTCTTTCTTTTATTCTTTCTTAAGGAGTTTGAAGAGTCATTAAATATATATTTTCTTAACCTTTATAAAATACTGATCTTTTACGATTATATTCTAATCAACTATCATTTCATTGAAATCATTGTTTTCTGTGACCTTTAAAGTTAGTTTATGCATTCTGAGAAAGGTATTAAGAATTATTAATCCTACTTAAATGAAAAAATAAAATAGAGAGGAATGTTATTTTTAAGGCTTTTAAACTTTGTGGGAATGCTGTCAATTCCTTATTCATTAGTCTTTTCCTTTCTCTTTTTAGCCACTGTATTGGTTTTATATTGCTGGTGTAACAAAGTAAAACAACACTGATTTATTATCTTATAATTCTGTAGTTTAGAACTTTAACACAAGTCTCCCTGAGCTGAAGTCAGGGTGTCATCAGGGATGCACTCCTTCCTGAAAGTTCTAGGAGAAACCTATTTCCTTGCCTTTTCCAGCTTCTAGATGCTGCCTGCATATCTTAGCACATGGCCCCCTTGCTATATCCTTAAAACCAGTAACATCTCATCACCTCCTAACTTCGGTCAGGAAAGCCTCTCTACTTTTATGGAATCATGTTAGGTTGGTGCCACCTGGTTAATCCAGATAATCTCCCCATTTCAAGATTTTTAACCTTAAGTATGCAAAATCCCTTTTGCCATGTAACGTAATATATTCACAGGTTTTAGGGATTAGGATGTGGACAACTTTGGGAAGTCATTATTCTTTTGGCGGGGGGGGGGGG